ACTCCCACAAGTATGTCACCCTCCCCATGTTCTCCCCGTATTTTGACCCCGAGGTCAAACTCATTTTGCAGGGTTAGAAAACTCAATTTGCAGGGAAGTGAACTGATCCTTGACGTAGAGAGCAACACCCCCACCCCTCTTCCCAAGATGGTCTCTCCTGTATACGGTATAACCTTCCAAAGCAACAGACCAATCATAGGTAGAGTCCCACCATGTCTCTGTTATCCCTACAAGGTCATAGACATTTTCACATAAGAGAAGGGACAGTTTCTCTTGCTTGTTTCCCAGTCTCCTGGCATTTGTGTATAGGCAGTTGAGTCTGCCGTGAGACGACCCATGCTTCCCATATGGGTCAAGGGGGGACTTTTCTTGGACTGTCATCAGAGCAGGTTCCCTTGGGCTGCCCAAGTTATTGGTACTGCGGCTGACAGGACCTGGGCTAGAACTGTTAATAGACCACCCATCCCCCAACAGTCTTAGTTTAAACAGAACTCTCCATCATATCACGGACACGAGGTCCAGGCAAGCAGCAGACCTCACGGGCTAAGGGGTCAGGGTGACAGATTGCTCCCTCTATCCCCCTAAGGAGGGAGTCACCCACCACGATAACTCTGCACCTTCTTCTGGGCACAGGTGCTGGTGGCCCTCCGTCCTCACATGCTGGAGCCAGTAGTATGGCTGGATCAGTTGATGTGAGGGGTGCAAAATGGTTATGCAGCTCCAGGGAAGTGGTAACCCTGGTGCTGCACCTCTTTGGGCTGGAGATAACCATCGTCCAGGCAACCCCAGGCTGGAATTTGTGGGGGTTCCTTGGTTCTGCCATGCTGTCATCAGCCATCAGGTGGAGAGCCTGAAGGTAAGAATCCAGCTCCTGCTCCGCGTCTCTAAGGGAGCACAGTCACTGGACCATTGCCTGGAGTTCCCTATTCTAGCACTCCTGAGCCTCCAGCATTGAGCACACCCCACAAGGGGAGGTATCAGTGCCCCCAAACCCAGCTGGCTGCAGTCTTGCTAGGCAGCCTCCATATGGAGCCAGGGGCTCCATCTGAGAGGAGGCCAGGGCCAAGAGTCCCACCTGGGTGGGGGCAGGGACCGCAGGCTCCATTTGAGTATAGGCCAGAACCATGGGCTCCATTTGGGTGGAGACCCCAGTGGTGTCAGAGCAGGGAAGTCCAGGTGCAGGGTGGAGCCTTGGTGGAACGTGTCCCACCCACCATGGTCCTTGTAGTAGTCTGGCTACTACTGTGCAGACCCTTGGCTACAGCTCAGTGCCTGGAGCCTCGGGCCCTCCTCCTCGCCCTCCTGCACAAACTCCCATGCTAACTCATGCACTGGGCAGACAAGCATGCCTGTTTGCGCATCCTGTTCATGCGGCTCTGGTCATGCAGCACCCTGGGGGGCTGGGTGAAGTAGGATCTGGTCAGGGCGAGCCCCTCCTTGGCTCCTCTCAGCTGCCTCCCTGCAAATAGCTAGTCCCTCCCACCACGGGCCCCACTCACCTCCAGCTCTACTGGGGGTTAGGCGGGGTCCGCTGCAGCTGCTGTGGCTCACTGGGTGTCTTCGGAGTGTGGATGGTGCAATGGGCTTACTCCCGTGCACCTCTCGCCACTCCCTGACCCAAACTGCAGCTTTTTTCCATTAGCAGGTGCTTTTAAACTGCGTGCATGTGCAGTGGGCCCGCCACCAACACCACACTGGTCCCAGGTTAGCGGGGACCCTACCCAGGACTTGGGAGACCCTCCCCCACTAGAAAGGGACTGGTGAGTACCCTTTCCCCTTCTCTCTCTCCCTGGGGGGCTGGGTCAAGTAGGAGCAGGGGTGGGGTGAGCCCTTCCTCAGCTCCTCTCAGCTGCCTCCCTGCAGCTGGCTAATCCCTCCCACCACAGGCCCCGCTCACCTCCGGCTCTGCTGAGGGTCAGGCGGGGTCCTCTGCAGCTGCTGGGGATCACTGGGGGTCTTCGGGGTACAGGGGTGTGACAGGTGTACACCCATGTGTCTCTCGCCACTCCCTGACCCAAACTAGTAGGTGCAAGGAAGTTTGGGATTCATGCTGTTCCTCAATCCATTCACAACCCCACCACCATGCTTTTATACAAAAGTGAGGTCTCTTCATCCCTACCCCTTTACTCACAGTGCTTCCAGTTTATTCTGGGCTTTGCACAACTACAGTGGGGGCAGGAGGACTTGGCTGTCTCAAGAAAAACATTTCAGGATATAAAAACCAGGCAAAGAGTTCACATTTTCTGTATTTCTGTTTTCTAGTTTTGATTGTACCTTTGACATTTGACAATAGATGACATTTACTAGTTATCTTCCCATTTTCAGTTCCCTTCTGGAAACTCTGTATGATCTCATCGCCTTATCCAGGTATATACTGTTGACATATCCATGTGGGAAAGCCTGTTCCAGTGAAGTCATTCTCTCACAGGCCATCTAAGAAAAGGGTTAATTTCAAGTGGAATTGCAAGCGGTACATTGCAGTTCACTGGGCAATTCTGAACTTCTCATCTTCACTATAAACTAAATTTCATTCTTTATGTCTGGATTATAAGGATCTAGAGACATACGGGATTTCAGTATTTGTTAATGAAGATGTTTGCTTTCATGATTCCCAAAACAACACTGTAATTGGAGATGAGCAATCCAACTGAAAAAGGTGAAATTTGGGGGGGACTTTAGAAAATACAGGTTCCCCTCGCTTCAAGCGTGTTCTTTATGTGTGAATTCGCTCTTATGCAATGACCCTTTTAATACCAAAATGTTGTTACATGCAAGGTAAATTCACTCTTACGCGATCGGTGTGGTGGAAGCCCACAGTCAGCTGCTTTGTGTGGTGCATTGTGGGAGTGATACACACCAAAGTATAGTGTGTGGATCTGTGCTCCTCATTCATTGTCTGTGACACATTTTTTCTGCAGTTGCCATCCCCATTATGATAGTGCCCTGTGCTTGTGTGTACTGTCTGCTGTTGGTGACTACTAAAATAGTCTTTTAAAAGTGGTAGAAAAGGGTCTGAGGGTCAGGACAGTTGAGATCTTGGAACGTATCCCTATTTGTTACACTGTAAAGTGGGTTCCCTTTATGCGAATTTTCCAGGAACGCATGTGCAGCATAAAGCAAGGGAAACCTGTAGCTTTATTGTAGCTGTAGTAATTCATAAGATGCTGAAGCAGAATGCCTTTGGTATATAGATCACTTAGCGCCTATCTGTTCTTCAGTGAGCGGACCATAACCTATCTGTACCTAAGTAGTCATAGATAGGTATCTCTTACAGTCTCTGCTGTGGAGTGATATACAATCTTTTTGTCACTGCTGTTGGGATTAATAGCTTGATAGTAATCAGTGGAAAAAATTATAGGAGTGAGGAGGAAAAAAAGCTCATTATTAAATCACATTATTTCTTATAGGAGTCTCACATGCTCCTGAAGGCACCCCCAATACAAAACAAATATATGAACACAGTACTTCGTCTCTGGTTGCAGCAGGGAATATGGTAGTCATGGTATTGCTGCTCTGTGGAACTTGTATAAAGTATGGTGTTTTCATGTAAAAGCGCGATTCATGTGTACAGGTTTTTGGTTGTACCCATGTTGGTCTAAGGACATAGTCAGGCAAGCTTCTTTGAGTAGATGTGATATGTTTTATTAGACCAACTGATTAGCTGGAAAAAAGTTCTTTGCAAGCTTTCGGGCACAAGCACCCTTCTTCAGGCATAGAGGTCTCTGCTGTTCTGAGATCTCCAAGGAATAAAAGAAGCTAGAAGTGTAACAGGATGTCAGTGAGAATGTAAATGGGTGGAAATTAGGAAAACAAAAAGGTAGAACAGGGCATGAACAACTGGTGCCGAAAAAAAAGTGCAGGGAAGGGGGGGGGGGGGGGGGAAATGAGGGGGAAATAATGCCAAAGGTAAGTAAGGGAGATTCTACTGTAGTTGAGTTCTCCAAGGTAGAAAAGAGGTAGTCTGTGAAAAAATGAAATGGCTAGAAATTAGGAAGACAAAAGGTAGAAAAGGAAGGGAAAGGGCGGGGAGGGGGAAGGGTAAATGGTAAGGTCAGGCAGATACCTGGTCAATCAGATGTCAGGCAGGTTGTAATGTGTCATAAATCCAATGTCTATATTCAGTCCATGATTTTTTGTATCCAGTAGATTTATAAAGTGAAGTTCATAGGCTCGTCTATGACAGGTGTTTTGTAAGTTTCTTTTGAGGATTAAAACTGAGAGATCAGAGGGAGTGATTGTCTTGTGAAAAGTGTGCACCCACAGGTAACTGGATTTTTTTTTTGATTGATTTTCAGTGTACGTTCATTCTGGCGTACAGTTGTTATTGGTTTCTCCAACATATTTTCCATCAGGGCATTTGGTGCACTTTTGCCTCCCTTTCATAAACAAGCCTGCAAACTTCATTCTGATGCGTTGTGGTCTTTTGAGGTTCTTGTCAACAGAAAAAAAAACTGCTCTATTATTTTTCCTTAGGTCAAAAAAAAAAAAAAAAAAAAAAAAAGTAAAAACTAAGCGCTAGTATTTTCAAAGGAGTGTCTCAAGTCTAATGAGGGGTGCCTAGAGTCTAAAACAGTCAAGAACCACTGTTTTAGATGGGCCTATACATGTTCCCTAAATTAGTTTTTTTTCAATAATGCATATATGCTGGCTGTAAACAGCCTAAATAAACTCCCTCCTCACATAGAACCCAGGGGAAAAATAGGAGGAAGAACGAGCAGTAGCTTTCCTCTTAGGGTAAGAAGAAATTTCCTGGGGAAAAGCTGCAGGTAGTGCCTATGGTTTGGCAAATTACAAGCCTGTGAGTTTACTAGATGAAAGTACAGACTGTTCCACTAATCTCTTGGCTGTTCAGATCTGTTTCTGTTCACACAGCAGGCTCTCCATGTGCTTTCACAAGTAAGAAGGCACTTCATTTTAGTTTCCATGCATATGCAGACTTAAGTTAGAATCTGGCCCTTATATATCATTTCTGAACATGTACTTTCCGTCTCAATATGTAGATGAAGGTGCTTCCTTTCACCCATGTGACGACACCTACTGTGGTCCTTTTCCGGAGTCTGAGCCTGAAGTTAAGGCCGTAGCTCACTTTCTTCGCAAACGTCGGAAACAAATAAAAGCCTATTTGTCTTTTCATGCATATGCTCAGATGCTACTCTACCCATACTCTTACAAATATGCAACAATTCCAAATTTCACCTGTGTGGTAAGTACATTAGTACTTGGAAAAGAAGATGCCCTTATAAAACATTTCTCTTACATTGTTTAGAAAGCAGTATTGCTTTTCTAATTAAGTATTGTTTTTCTAATACTTCACACATTTTTCATTTTAGTAGTATTTATTTTAGATCCATTTCCAGTCTTATCACTGGTTAGGCAACTTTTATTTAGAGTCAGCAGTAATTTGATTAGAATGTGATGGCTCCTTCTGTCCATCAATCTCTTAAAATTACTTAGTAGTATAAATCACTAGATTTGACTTACAATGCTGTTATAATTTATTGAATTAATATTCATGGGAGTTGTGTTCATAAACCCCTGGGCACCTACCTAAAGGTCGATCCCTTCATCTTTGGAAAAAATGAAGAGATACAAATGTTATGAGACATAATGAAGTTCACCTCTGATTTATTCACATTTAAACTGCTAGACAAAATAGAAATAAAAATGGCTTATTAAATTATTTAAATTAGAATTTAGATTAATCAGTTAAATTAGAAATCCACTAGATTTCACCAAGAATAACACTTCTAACCCTTTACATTGTAGCTCACTGCCATAGCATTGGCTCACGGACCCTTTTGACCTGAGCAGTTAGCCAATATTCTTTCTGGAAGTTTCCCCCATTAGGTGGAGAAATTACTGATATGCAGATATTTATTTTTACAGTTGTGTTTATTTAGTGAAGTAAAGTTCCCTGGACACAGCAGGAAAAAAAAAAAAAAAAGAGGTGGTGGTTTCTTGGCTCACCGTCCAGCCTCTTTCCCAACCAGTGCTCTTCCCCAGAGCTCTCTGTTAATTCATTCTCAGGACCACACTTTCAACGCATGTCCTTCTGTCTGCTTCTACTTACAGGCACAACCAGTTCCATCCAACAGTAACCAGCTCCCTTTCCCTTTGTATGCAGTTCCCATTGAATCCCCTCCTGTTATAGCTCAGCATTTGTCTGTCATTGTACAAGGCTTATGTTTTGGACAGTTACTCCTATTGTTTTAGGAGTTTAACTGGTTTTTATGCTTACCCTGAAATGAATAGTGACCTCACATCCAAGAGCTTCAATGAGGCTTCACTCAACCTCCATCAAAATGCCACAAATGAATTCTCTTAGATTGATCCGGGGTGTGAATGAAGGCCTCAGTTGCATTGCTTTTCAGTTACCAGGAAAGTTAATAGACCTTTCCTGATGCTCTGTGTCTTAAGACAGTTAATTTTACAAGCTCTTAAGTTTCCCACTTGATGTCATGCTTGGGAAACAGAGCAGACTAGAAGTCAACGAAGCAACCAGGGTAGCTAAAAGTATGAGGATTGTAAGGATTTGCAGCCCATTCATATTTAATATACCATACATCATTCAGTAAATCCTGCTAATGAATGAGCCCTGGCTTGAATCTCCCTTCTTCATCTTCTTTTGGAGGTTGAGTCAGGTTCTACTCAGTTGAAGCAGTCCCCATCATTAGAAAAAGAACCATATAACAAATATATAATTTGAATATTTTATACATTGGAAAAATAAAGGAGCCTTACCTTGGTGTCTGTAGTACAAGAAGATAATTGATGAGTATTCTGATGAACACATCCAGAGCTAAGTGATAGATAGAGGCTGAGAGAAGCAGGCAATGGGTCAGAAAATTCATTTTTAAGAAAAGGATTCTTAAAGCATTCACACACAGGGATATCCCGCCCACCCATAACCCTTTCTGTCTAAAATGTTTAGATGGGTGGAAACCTGTTTGGCAACCATGGGCCCGATTACTGACACAGTAGTAGCCTTTTGGTCAACTTCACTGGTCCTTCAGTTAGGCCCTATCAGGCTAGCGACATTAAATGGAACATGGACCTGAAGTAGCCGTCAAAGATATCATTACAGACAACTTCCAATTAGGAGCCAACATCTCTGGATAAATATATTTATTTTTAAATTAAAGCAATAAAGCAACCTAAAGTTCGCAAATATTTCACTGATACCTGTGACAGGGGGCCTCCTGGGGCTGAGCTCCGTGGCCCACCCGCCTGTCACCGTAACAGGGGGCCTACTCAGGGCCGAGCTCTTCGTGGGGCCCCCCCCCCCCCCTCTCCCCCCCGCCACACCTTTGATGATAATTGATTCATATATTGATGTCAATTAAGCGGGAGGCTACCCATTGTAATGCCCCGATGCCAGGGGGCGCTCTGCGGCTCCGACCTCCCCTAATACCGCAGCCCAAGCCTCGCAGATGGCATCTTGCTGTTCGTATCCTCACTGGCCCCACGCTGGGCCCCAGAATCATCCAAATAGGACCCCTCAATGATCCCTCCAATCAAGCGGCCTCTCCACCTTCATCCGGGCTACCTAGCCCCCCCGAAGCCATTTTCCCCTCTCAGGCGTGGTCCCCCCGGGACCTTCGGCTACTAGCCCTGGCCCACCTCCAGGCCAGTCAGGACCCCAGGCCCCTGGACCTTATGACCCTCCTGGTCCTGGCCCCAGCATGGGCCAGTCAAGGGTACTCTCTCGTCCGGGTTGGGTCTCAAGCCCCTCACGTTCTCCCAGGGTCCACCCTCTGGGCCCCTCAAACAAACACAGGGTTACCCACCCGGTGGTGGGAGCTAGGGGTTAAGGCGCCCTGACCCACCTTCCACCGGGGTGGTAACTGGCCTGGCATTTCCTGGGGGCTCCCGCGCCACTGAGAGCCCCACCAGACCACCCACTCCCGGCAGGGTGCAGTTTTAGGTCATGCCCAGGACCAGGAGCCTCCTTACCATCCCCTTGCAGCTCCCCCTTACCTCCAGGTTGTTCTCAGCAGCCCTCTGGCCAGGCAATGTTGTTGCCTGGCCTCCTGCAGCCAAACTGCCCTGTTTAAATAGGCAGCCACTGTCTCCAAAATGGCTGCCCTAATCAGGCACCTGGAGGCTGCCAGCTCCAGGCCCTTAAAGTGGCAGACACACCCTGTGCTCTGCCACAATACCCTAAACTATGTATATGTCAGTTCCACAGTGATGATTTCTTTTTGTTTGCCTGTTTGTTTTGCAAGAGAGGATGATGAACAAAACTTGCTTCTATGTTGTAGGGAGAATTCAACCAGTATACCTAGGAGAGAAGCATAGTGAAAAGAAAGAGTCACAATAAAGTTCTTGTAGAGTCGTATTAAGGTACTTTTGTATACTAGTACTTGCCTTTGACCAAAAAGTTACACCATTGATGGCTCTAAGATGCATGTATTTTCAGTATTTAAAATATCTACCAATATCACATAAGCTAAGATTGGAAAACATACTTATAATTAAGTCTCCAACCAATTTCTCTCTACTGGAGTTCCATGGCTAGATGGACTAGCCACTCCATGAGAGTTGTTCTGTGCGACTCCACTCGCAGAAAGGGTAAGGAATGTTTAGTGCAAATAGTGCCCAAGATTATTTTAAGCAGAGGCAAAGAAGCTTCTCTTCAGTTCAGTACACACTAGTATTCTGCCAGTCTCTGGTTCAATTAAAGTGCTAAATTATTCAGAGCTGCTCTGAAACTGGAGAGCAGTATACCAGTAACAACATGCATATTCTGTTCTAATTTAGACACAAGTCTCTTATTAACTCGCTACATAAATCTGTTCTTTAAACATCCTTAAAGTGAAGTTGGACTATAGTTTTAGTTTGGTAAGCGTTTGCAACAGTTATTTCAATCCATAGAGTTTTTTTAATTCCATTTACTATTTATACTTATACAATCCTTTGTCTCCGTGTTTGCAGTGAGCTTATATGACATAGAAACATTCTCTCAGCAGATCCCTGTGCTAAAATCTGCTAATATTGCAGTTTATCTTGAGGCCTGCTCCTCTGAGGTGCCAGGAGTTCTGGTTGCTCAGTATCAGACCTAAATAGTAAAATGAAGTACTCACAACTTTTTTTCTTCCTTCTGTGTCTGACAACAATGGTTGGTGTGAACATACTGCCTGTAACCCAAGAATCATACACTTATTACAGCCAGCTCTTTCTTTCCCTCATACTGGAAGTATACCGTGGTCATTTACCTTGCTCAGCTGTCATATGTATATGGAAGCCAACACTATATCATGTTTCTAACAACTTTTTTCTTGTTATTGTCTGACAAATAACTTCTTGGGAACCTGAAATTGAAATTTATTTACTTATAAACACTTTCTCCCTAGCATGTTTGCTGGCATCTTATTGTACATTTAGGTCACTGACATGAAAATATAATAGTTCTCAACTTCCCTCCATTTATTTCAGAGTAGGAGATTTCTGGCCCATGTAAGATGAGAAGGAGGCCCAAGTTAAATCACGACCCCCTTCCACAGATTTTGTAGAATTGCAGATGACTAAAGCTGTATGGGGTTTGAAGTGAGCGAGTGGACAGAAGTAGACATGGGAAATGACTGTTCTCACTAGTATCCCTTCAGTGTCCAAACCCATGCAGTGCTCTGCTGAAGTTCATTATAGCATTAATTCTGACATTCCTCCATGCTTTCACTGTCCCTCGTGGATTTGTGTCAAATAGCATACAGGCTAGCAGTATAACTCCTTCGCTACATACCAACAGAGACTGATAAAAACCAAAAAAGGCCCAAAAGAAAGTTTATAATACTCTACTGCAGGGTTCACCACATTTTTACAAGTTGCAGGCTGGCATTTGTGACCTGGCTGCCAGTCCTGTCACAATGTCCATGCTGCCTCTGCTGCCTTTGCTTACCCATGTGGCCGAGTGCCATAGATACCTGTCCTGAATGGTAATGCAGGGGGCAAATAAGATGGTGAGGGTAAGTGCCACCTGCTTTAGGGGATAAGACAGTGCAGAAGGGAATAGTGCAGTGGGAGCTGGCAGCACAGAGCAGTCAGGTGGAGGAAAACCTGCCAGGGAAAACTGTATGCCACCAATCCCCTGTGCCACTGCAGGCTGGATCCAATCTCTTGGCAAGCCAGATTCAGCCTGTGAGCTTTAGGTTGCTGACCCCTGGTCTACTGAACTTTTTACTAAGGTAAAAAAATATTTCTTCCATGGTAAAAATGTCTAGACTGAGCTCCATGCCCAATATAAAAATTAATTTGATAAAGCTCTACTTTTTAGGCAAAAATGAAAGTGACCTGTTGTTCCCTAGATTAATATCCAATCAGTATTCTACCTCATCTAGGATCCTTCAGTACATCTAGAAGAATTGAGCTGATAAAGCTTCTGCTAACTGAATCCTATATTCATCTAGGTGGCAAAGGCTGGAAATAAAACCCCAGCAACTTCCCTTGAAAATTCAGTATCAACCCTATCCAATCTCCTACCATCTTACCCATATGGGACTCTGTGTTCTACTCCCAACATTTTTTTCCAGTCACTAACATTTTCAAGAAACCCATATTAAAGGGTTTCTTTAGGGTTACCCTTAGGTTTGTCCTCTTCATTCGTTTTTTGTTTTTTAAGACAAGTGTCTCTTCTTTCTGATCATTCGGGGGGGGGTTCCTAATGGAATTTTTAAAATAAGTTGCACTACAAAATTATTTTCTCCAACTTCAAGGAATAGTGGGCTCTTTCCACCTGTTATTAAAATTATTTAGATTTGGGCCATGATTCTCTTCTACTGTCTCTATTCTGTAACGTTCCTTCAGTGACAGAAAAAGAGCAGCAGGGGAATTCCTCTAACTTCCACTACTGCCTTATGGTCATGAACAACCTCTTCTGTCATTAGATGGCTAGTGGAAGAGCTTCACTGTAGTATATTCCCTCCAGCCCAGCCCTGGAATGCCATCAGCACAGTTTCCCCACACAAGTGCACCAATGTAGGATTAGTGGAGTGGAAAATCTAGCTACTGATGATAGATTTGAATTTTATGCATGGCTTTTAAGCTGCATAAATAAAGGACAGTTCTTTCCCAGTGTAACACCATGGTCTAGATTTGCTGTGTCACCACATTGCAATGTAAGCCTGTAGTTCCAGATACTTAACTGGTGATCATTCATAGTTCAACAAAGTTCTCTATGCCATGAAAGTATTAAGCCAGGCTACACATACTAGACCATTTAAAAAAAAACATTTTGCTGTCAAAATTGTATTTATCCATTAAATCATGTTAACTTGGCCTCCAGAGAACTATAAAACCTAGGAGCTGCATTAGGAGTAAATCCTATGTAGTTCAAGTTCAAATCCTATTACAATTTTTAATGTGAAATCTAATCTATTTATTTTTTTCTCCCACACACAGGAGTCTGCAGCTTATAAGGCTGTTAATGCTCTTCAGTCAGCTTATGGTATAAGATATAGATACGGCCCTGCATCTAGCACTTTGTGTAAGTTTCTGTACTAAAATGGTTTGTTACTTTGACCTACATACAGTAAGAAGGGATTGCCTTTACCATAACAAAGGAAGCAAATCGCCTCTACAATAAACTTTGATCAAATTGTAACAGGTGAGAAGGTCAGAAGCGAAGTTTGTAACATTCAGTAAAACTGTAATGAAAGAGATTAATGTAGCAGATGCTAGGGGGCAAAAGCCAAGTGAACAGGCTGATGAGTTGCAGTTAATTTTGGGGTGTATAAAAGTAAACAAAGAAAGAAAAGGGGTGTTTTTAATAGATACTGTAGTCCCAACACTAAATCTTGAGATAAGTGAGAGAGAAGAATTCCCAGGTTGCAGATAGCAGCAGGAGCTATGCCCCCTGGATGAACCACTTGTGACTCAATCCTGTGCTCCGCTGGCTGTGCAGTGCTTGCCCCTCCCCTAGCTTCAGCCCCAGCCCCAACCCCAACCCCAACCCCACTCCCTCCCCATCCCTGATGCACCAGAAGCCCTCAGCCGGGCTGCCTTGTGGCCCTACCACTGCCCCGCATTTGCAGGGGGGCTAAGCTCCATTAGCCCCACCGTTCCACCATGTATGCTGTTTGGACAAATGCAACCCAACCACTTAAGCTGCTCCTTCAGGCTGTTGGACACCAGTGACCCTAGCTGTGTGCTGTTGCAGCTTATCCCTCTAGCCCTGGGAATGTGGGAGGAGTGGGGCATGTCAAGGAATGAACCAGTCTGACAAGTGAAACTCAACAGCCTCACATCTGCTCATCTGCCCACAGCACAGCATACTATTCAGAGTGTGAGGTCAGCCAGCACAGGGGCTCCCAGGGACAGGGGCCATGCGTAGGGGGTGTATGTGCACCCCGTGAGTGTCGCAGTGCAACCCTACACCGCTGGCAGCATCTGTGGGCAGTCCACGATCACTGCTGGCCACCATCGATGCTGCTGGCAGCACCTGTGGATGGTTGCTGACCTTTGGTCGGCGCTTGCCACCCCACTTCCCCACCCCCGCCACGGACAGCACCAGCAGCATCTGCAGGAGCTCCCCGCTCACCACTGCCATGCTCCCGCCACCACTGTGCCCCCCCCAGCCACTGTGCCCCACCAGCACACACTATTCATATCCAGGGGCAAGGGAAGACAACTGTAGAAGTGCCCACAGTAGCTGATGGCACCAGTTGTCTTCAGGATCTCATGGTAGATGCAGGCCTCTGGATTGGAGGAAGAGAGTGCTTACCACCTTGCACAGGAACCAGATACTATGGTATCCTTAAAAGGATCTTGTGAAACCCCTGGGTTCTGCATTACACCAGTTGAGAATCACTTGGTGTCTGGGAACATATCTTCCTTTAAATCCTACGTGAAAGGAAATATGCTATAGGTATTCAACAAATAGTAATGATGCAGAACAGCGACTGGGGTGGAAATGTTCCCTTACATGTCAGACTCTTGAAAATAAATAAGGAAAATTAGAACATTCTTTTTTCTTAAATAATACTAATATACTAAGCAACTTCCAAGAGGCACTGAATGCCCATGGATTTCTGTGGGACTAGAGGACATTCAGTACACAAAAGAGTCAGACTCTAGGTGTTAAGTATTCACTAAGCTTCTTAACTACAGTGTCATGGTAACTGTATTCTTAGT